CTCCTCCTCCTCCTCTTCCGTCTCCTCCTCCCCCTTCTCCTTCCCCCTCTATTCATCATCGTCATATGTATCCCCTCTCTGATACCCATCACCGTCATCATCATCATCATCATCACCATCATCATCATCATCAGCATCATCACCACCAGCATCATCATCAGCAGCAGCACAAGCATCATCACCATCACCAGCATCACCAACATCCTCTTCCCCAGCATCACAATCATCATGACCGACATCACCAGCATCAGCATTATCAACATCATCAGCATCATCACCACCATCACCATCACCATCATCGTTCTCCTAATCGCTATCATAATCATCGTCATCATCATCATCACCAGCATCAGCATCATCATCATCACCATCGTCCTGAGTCTTGGCAAGATCCCCATCAGCATCATCGACACCAGCATCATCACCACCACTCCCCTCGCTCTCTGGCTCTCACTCCTCGCACGTTCTTATTTCCTCGCCCTCCCTGAGCACTCCTCAATTCTGCTCGCTGGTCCAACACCTCTCCCCAGTCGCCTCACCATTTTCCGCCATATCCTCATCATCCTCATCATCATCATCATCATCATTATCATCATTATCGTCATCGTTATCAGCATCAGCATTATCTTCATCAGCTGCATCGGCAGCATCATCGCCATCATCATCATCCTCAGAATCGCCATAACCACCATCATCATCATCACCATCAGCATTATCATCATCAGCATCATCGCCATCAACTGCATCACCACCATCATTACCAGCTGCATGATCATCACCATTCATATCATCATCAGTATCAACACCATGATTATCAGCATCATCAGCATTACCAGCATCACCATCACCAGCTGCATCAGCAGCATCATCGCCATCATCATCAGTATCAGCATATTCATCATCAGCATCATGAGCTGCATTGACAGCAGCATCGCCATCATCATCATCACAGTCATCGTCTTTCTTGCCATCATCATCACCATCACAATTGTCATCAACATCAGCAACATCATCATCATCATCATCGCCATCAACAGCATCATCACCACCACCATCATCATCACGAGCTGCGTCACCATCATTAACATCGGCATCATTATCAACAACCAGGCATGACCATACCCATCACAATCTTCATCATCACCACCATCATTAGTATCACCACGCCGTCGTCCTCAAGCTTGTCGTCACCACCATCACCATCATCATCATCATCATGCTCAGCATCAGCATCAGCATCAGCATCAGCTGCATCAACAGCATCATCATCATCATCATCATCATCATCATCATCATCATCATCATCATCCGCATCACCACCATCATCATCATCATCACCACCACCACCACTCCTCCTCGCTCACTCGTTCTCACTCCTCACGCTATCTTACTCGCCCTTCCCGAACATTCCGCAGTTCTGCTCACTAGCCCAACTCTTCCCACTTTCCTCTTCATGTTCCTCTATGTCCTCTTCCTCCTCCTCCACCTTCTCCCCATCATCATCATCATCATCATCAACATCACTCCTCCTCCTCACTTCTAGTCATCGCCATCATGATCATCATCAAGAGCAGCAACAACCTCACCATCATCATCACCACCACCGCCATCATCAGCATCACCATCATCATCATCATCATCGTCATCATCATCATCATCACTAGCACCAGCACCATCACCGCCATCATCGTCATCATCATCATCATCATCATCATTTTCAGCATCATCTTCATAATCATCATCATCATCACCATCATCATCAGTATCTGCATCATCACCACCACCACCGTTATCATCACAACCACCATCATCAGCAGCAGCAGCATCCTCACTCCTTTTCCGCCTCACCCTTTCTCCGCGCCCTGGCTCCTCTGGCACATTGCTTCCTCCCCCTCATCCTCGCGCTGCGCCCCGCGCTCACGCGCGCGCCGCCGGCCGCCTCCTCCGTCTGCCGACCGAGCCGCGGGCCTCCTCCGCCCTCTGCCCCTTCTCCTTCCTTCTCCTCCTCCCCCTCCTTCCCATCCTCCTCCTCCTCCTCCTCCTCCTTCTCCCCCTCCTCCTCCTCCTCCTCCTCCTCCTCCTCCTCCTCCTCCTCCTCCTCCTCCTCCTCCTCCTTTCGACCGTCGAGCTGCGGGCGTTGTCAAGCGATCGCCCCGATGCCTTCGACTCGTCCTCCTCCTCCTCTTCCTCCTCCTCCTCCTCCTCGCTCCTCTTCCGCCTCGCCCTTTCTCCGCCCCTCCTCCTCCTCCTTCGCCTCCTCATCGTCCTCATGTTCCCTTCTCCCAGCATGTTGCAATGTTCCTTCGTTTCCTCCTCCTCCTCGTCCACCTCCCACGAACTACGAGCTAATGGCAACAGAATTCATCGAACGCGGCCTCCCTCCTCTTCCTCCTCCTTTTCCTCCTGCTCCTCTTCCTCTTCCTCCCCTCCCTCCTCTTCCTGCTCCCTGTGTTACCATTCCTTTTTCATGTTCCCCCTACCACCCACTCACCTTCGTTTTTTCTTCCCCGTCGCCTCCTCGCATTTCCCCCTCCCCCCCTCCCCCTCGGAGCTATGTCCCCCCTACCACCCACTCACCTTCGTTTTTCTCCCCCGTCGCCTCCTCGCATTTCCCCCTCCCCCCCTCCCCCTCGGAGCTCGGTCGCCTCTGCCTCGCGCCTCAGCCCCCCCCCCCCCCTCCCCTCCCGCGCAGGCGCACCTGCCGCACCTGCCGCACCTGCCGAGGGAGGTGCCGAGGGGCCTGCGCAAGGTGTTCTCGGCAGGGGACAGCGCGCGGGCGTGCGCCCCGCGCCTCTCCTCCAGGGGGGGGGGTTGGGGGGGCTGAGGCGGGGGCGGGAGGGAAGAGGAGGCAAAATATGATGGAAGAAGAGGAGGGAAGAGAGAGAGAGAGAGGGCGCGCTTGACGACGACGACGACGACGACGACGACGACGACGACGACGGCGGCGGCGGCGACGACGACGACGACGACGGCGGCGACGGCGGCGGCGGCGGCGGCGGCGGCGGCGACGACGACGACGACGGCGGCGGCGGCGACGACGACGACGGCGGCGACGACGAAGGCGGCGACGACCGCGCCGCCGCCTCTTTCGGCTCAAACCCCAGAAGGCAGAGCTCATGTCGACTCCTCCGATTCGATTCGATTTCGATCGGTCCCGATCCCGATTCGATTCGGCCTCGGATTCTGATTAGGAGTTGGGTGTCTCAACGGAGGCCTTACTAGATTGCCGATGTCCGCCGATTCGACTTCTCGTGGCCTGGCCGCCGATCTCTCCGCCGATCCGATTCGTGTCGATCGCCGATCCGACTTATCGATTCGATTTTGGGCTCTCCTGGGAAGGCGGAGGAGAGTGGTTCATGGCAAGACTGCCCCGCAGAGTGCGGTACTAAGTCTGCTTTGATCGGGGGCCAAACAGTGGCATATACACAACAACTCGGAGGTCCGAGCGGATTTCTCGGATCGGCGCTGGAGCCCCTTGGCGGCGCCTCAAGCGCGCGCGCTCCGCGCGCCAGGCAGGGAGGTCCAGCTCCGAACCGAGAAATCCGCGCGGATCTCCGAGCTTTTATGTTTATGTCACTGCTTGTTCCTTTATTTGACGCACAACCCCTGTGGGCGCCACCCACAACGCGACGATCTCACGGTTGAGCGTGGGCTCAGTGGCCGTGCGCATTGGCTGCAGGCCTGCTTGAGAGTCACGTTTCGGCCAGGCTTCGGCCACCCGCAGCGAAGCACCCCTCCTTCTCAGAAGGCGCGGGCCTTGTCTATAGATGTAGGTCCGGCGCCTCCTAAGAAGCAGCCTCCTAAGAAGCCTTGCCCCTTCCCATACCCCCTTGTGCGCGCCGCCACAGTGGCCTTGCGCATTGGCTGCAGGCCTGCTTGGGAATCACATTTCGGCCAGGCCTGCTTGGGAATCACCGAGCTGTGAGAGCAAGCATATGTTTCCCAGGTGTGACTCCGAAACACCACTCCAGGAGCTGCCATAGAAAACGGTGGGCGCCAAATCTCGATCAAGGCGGTGTTGATATAGCATTTTCTGAGGCTGTGAACGCCCACATGGCCGATTATGCTTGCAATACCTTTCGTGACTTCGAACACGTTCGGGCAGCATCTGCAGCAGTTTGCGCGCGGGGTGGCGCATGCGAAGCCAACGCCAAACCGTGGACACTGAAAAGCTCCAAAGATTGCGACATCAGCGTCGTCAGTGTAAAGACCAATCAGAGCTGCGTAGACTGTCCAAGTTGATCAGCAAGGAGCATTGGAAATTACTCAGGAAATTCTGTGATATGCGAGCTGTGAAAATACTGCATGAGCTCAAAGGCATGACAAAAAGCTCCCAGAGATCCACATGCACCCGGTCAGGCCGAAAGTGCCTTGCCCAGTCGACAACGATGAGTTCAAGGCGTCTTTGAACGAAATTCGGAACACGGACTTGCTGGAAGAGAGGAAGGAATGGATCGACGAGATGTGCAACCGAGGCCCGTACGACGTCCCATTGCTCTCCATGGACGAGATGCGCTTCGCATTCCGGAGGATGCGTCGAGGCAGATGTTCCGATTCAGCTGGGATTACATTGGGCATGTTTCTGTACTGTGGGGACGGCTTGCTTCAATCGACGCTGGGGTGCTTGAGTTCCATACTGCGTATAGGAGTCTTTCGTTCATCCAGACTGGCAGGAGACTCCGTTTGTCATGCTCCGCAAAGGTGGCAACAGACGCGATCCATAGCGATTCTGCGCATAACGTACAATATCGTTGCACGTATACTTTTCCAACGTCTTCAACCACAGCTCGAGAATCAGTAATGTCCAGATGAATGCGGATTTCGCCCAGGAAGACCAGTTGATGATGCATTCATCGTTCTGGATGGGTCATGTTGTAAATCGTGCGAGTGGGGGCAAACGCTTTGGATCGTGAGCATCGACTTGACCAAGGCTTTTGACCGCATCGAGCGCCCGCTGCTTTTTCAACGCGTTGGACGAACAGGGCGTGCCTTCGGAGTACATGTGGCTGCTGTCGGATACATATCACAACCAGGGCGGAAGCGTCAATGGCAGTGGGTTTTTTCATATCACCAGGGGCGTCAAGCAGGGAGACGTGCTGTCGTCGTTTTTATTCAACAGCGGTTTAGAACACGCCGTGAAGCGATTCAAAGACCGAGTTCGTGGGAGCGGCACCGACGTAGGAGGGTCAGAACGATTGGCCAAGATACTATACGCGGATGATTTGTTGCTGTACGCCGCGGTTGCTAGCGAGGCAATGTTCATGCTGAAAGTATTGTGCGAAAAGCTGTCGAGGTGTGGCCTGGCGCTGAACGCAAGCAAAGCCAAGGTGTTCACGAACGACACTGGGTACTCATGGCTGCACATGCTCTGACGCCTTTCGGTGAGCAGAGTCTGCCCGTAATGCTTGACACGGACATGCACACGTATTTGGGGCAGAAGTTGTCCAGGAACATGTTGGACATGCCAAAAATCAATCTTATCTACCGCGTGGAGTGCGCGTGGGCTAAGTACCATGCGAACCGGGCGGTTCTCACCAACAAGACCATTTCTGTCAAGTTGCGGCTCCGTCTTTTTGACAGCGCGGTCTCACCTACAGCCACGCTTTGTCTAGCCATTTGCGCGCTGACGCAGCACCGACGCATGAGGATTACAGCCACGATATCAGCAATGCTGCGCAAAGTCGTGGGTTTTGGAAGCGGCCAGGAGAAAATTGGAAAAACGCCGGCAGACGCTGCAAACATCGACTTCGAAGCGCGCTTTCTCAGCGTAGTGTTTCTGACTGGTTGCAAGTCTTTGGCAGAATGCAGCGGCGGCTCGTTCACAAAGTTTTTCGACACGATTTGTCTTGGCCGAAGACAGTCATGGCATGGATTTATTACATGGCACTCGGTTCTTTGATTTGGCAACTCGAAGAGGACCACGTGAACTTCACGGTTTCATTGTAGTTTGCCGGTAAGTCTGTTTTTGGAGGATTGTGTTCATTTGCATGATTTCCTTATGCTGTCTTCACTTGTGGGGCGCCAGGGGGCCGCGCGCGATCGGACCTTGCTTGCTTGCTTGCGCGGCCCTCGGTGTAGCCTTGTCTGTGTCGGTGGTGGGTCTCCTGCCGTGGGCGAACATCGCTCATGCTCGTTATCGTCCTGTTTTCCTTCACTTCCGACCTCCCTCCCTCCCCCGTCGTCGCTGCTCCGCCTGTCTCCCGGAGTCCCCGTTTCCTTTCCCGTGGGTCACCGGCGGAGGCGCGAAGAGAATTGCACTTTGCGCGTCGCGGCCTTAAGGGGCAACGATAGGGGTGGGGGATGAGCACAAAGGGAGATGCATCGACCTTCAATCATCCATTCATCGCCGATAGGGGCCTAATGGCCCCACCCCGCCAAGGAAGGTGCGGATTCCCTATCGGGGGCCTGTTGCCGATCTATCGGCGATGCGTCGCCGATTCCAGGTCGATGAGTACCCCCTATGCCTATCCCCCCGTATCGTTGCCCCTCAGGCCTGGACCAGAGCGGCGGCGCTTCTCCAGAGGGGGCGGCGCGATGGCGCGAAGCTGATTGCGCATCGCGTGACGCGATGCGCGAAGTTCAGTGGCCTAGTTCCTTCCCTGTCGCCCCTTCCAGATTTACACTTGCACATTATGAATACGTCTCGCCTCTCCCTGTCTTCCGTCTGGAAGACAGGCATTGGTCGAAGGCGTTTGTCCTTAAGGTCCTGCGGTTTGTTTTGTAATCCGATTGCCTCCAGTGTTTTGATTGAAATTGGTGTTCCCGCCGCACCGTGGGCCGCATTTTCGGCTCGTTGGTTTGCTCCCGTCGTTCGGAATAGCGCTCTCGCCCCAGCGCGGGCCACTCCTCTGGATCCGAGTCATTCTTCATCGTTGTTGCCCCCCTCATTTCCCCTCCTCCGCCTTCGCCTGGTCTTCCTGCTCCTTCCGCTCCTTCCACTCCAGTTCCTGCTGCTGCTGTTCGTACTCGTCCTCCCCCCGCATCCTCCTCCTCACCCTTCTCTTTCACCCTGTCGTCCTGCTCACGAGGAACCTCCTTCTCCCCCTCCTCCTCCTCCTCCTCCTCCTCCTCCTCCTCCTCCTCCTCCTCCTCCTCCTCCTCCTCCTCCTCCTATGTACGCAGCTCTCTTCTCCCGATTGTGCATCACACGATGTCATGTTTTTGAGTTTCAGGTAGACTATGACACGCGTCTGCGAATAGGAAAACATCAGCTCAATGGGAAGGGATGGGAGGGAGGGATCGGACGTCATATGTGGCGCGAGCGCATCTAGCTTACCTTCACCATCCTCTTCCCTCCGTTCAGGGTGAGGAGATACGTTTTGGCTCCTGGGCCATCGGATGCCATCCCTCGTGGGGCACGCTCCTTCGATGAAGTTCTTGTCCGCCCTGGCCACGGAGACTTTGGAGTGCAGCGTCCCAGTGGCAGCGCTCCAGCTGTCAGAGACCGTGGGCACCGCTCCTCCTGCTTCGTCCCACTTGCGCAGCCTCGCCTGTTGGCAAGGCCCATCGAGGGGTGCCCAGAGTGCCCTCGTCATTCTTACCGTGGCGTTCCGCCGTGGAAGCGAAGAAGGCTCAAACGCCTGCGCCCTGCCCTTCTGCTGGTTGTGACTGGTTGCTTGTGCGGGCCTTTTTTTCGCTTTCGTGCCCCAATTCGTTCTCGGTGCACCCCACCGCTTGCTGACCGACGTCTGACTGTTTTGGACCACCTGGCGCCCGCGGACTTAAAAGTGTGGGCCGTCCGGGGCCTCCTGCGGACGCAGTGGTAGCCTGTGTCGGGTCGGTCGCGCGCGTGACGTGCTCTTTGTTTCTTTCCGCCTGTTGGTGGTGTATATGTGCGGGCCCCGAAGTTCCGTACCGATGCAGCCCGATTCGGTGCACGTGTCAGTCTGATCCGATCTCGACTTAACGACGCGACGGGTGACCGCAAGCTCCCGGCGCCGTGATCGTCCTCACGGCGTGGGCCTGGGAGCGTTCGATTCTGTCCCCAGGGCTTGCTTCTTTCCCTCGTGGGTTCTGGGACCGGGCAAGAGAGGGGTTTTGTTAGGGGGGGCATCGTGGCCAGGGCCATGAGACCTCCCTGTATTTAATGGCCCCTTCGTCATCTTCTTCTAATTGTTCAAATTGCTGCTTTTATCACTACTGTGAGTGTTATGAGTATTCGTCTGATTCATATGTTTTAGTTGAACGCGTCCTCTTCCACCCTTCGGTCGCGCGCATGCCCCGGGAGCTTCCAAGAAGGGTGTGAAAACTAGGGGGTGGATGTCATGGCTGGGGCCCTGATATCTTCCTGGGTTTCATGGCCCTTCTTCTGTTCAATTCGTTCGTTTGGGCATCTTTGGGCCGAGCCGTCCCCCCGAGGACGCGGCCGCCATGGCGTCCGCGACGCTGCTGTCCGGCCGGGCCCTCCACAAGAGCAGCTCCGTGGGCGGCTCCCTGAGCGCGCCGCCCAGAGCCACTCGGCGGCGGCGGCGGGTGTGCTCGCTGGGCAGCCAGCGCGACGACGGCGGCGGCTACGGCGGCGAGGGGACGAACGAGGCAGGAGGCAGAGGAAGGGGAGGAGGATGAGGAGGAGGCGGAGGAGGAGGCGGAGAAGGTGGAAACAGAGGGATGGGGGGAGGAGGGAGTGGAACGGTCGACCAGGAGGGGACACCATATTGGGGGGTTGGACCATGAGGGATGGATTGGACCACGCACCAGAGCCGCATACGACACAGGGGGTGGTAGTGTAGTCGCGGCTGCTGTTGCTGCTTCTCCCTGCTGCCGTTGTTGCTTCTCCTTCCGCTTCTCCTTTTCCTCCTTCTTTTCCTCCTCCTCCTCCTTCATGCCTTGGTGTCTAAAAAGTCTTGGTGCGCAAGGGATTTGAGTCACTCGTCACTTCCAAACGATTGAACGAACAGCTTCAAAATTCTCACATCTTCGGAAAAAGAGGGAATTTGTAAGGAAGGTTTGAACTTCCATTTGACATTGTTGAAGCATCTGTATCCACATGAGGGCTGAAGAAACCTGGACACCCTGAGGCCAAACATTTTCAGCACCGTCAAACATGTTCTTAACAGTTCGTCGGAGCTCAAAACTTTGACAGCTCATTCAAGTTACACACATATTGCTGAAGCTTTCCTCAGTTATGGTCCCCTCCCCCTCAGTTCGCGCAGCCTTGCGCCTGGCGGTCCCGAGGAGAGGTCGGAAGGGGCTGCGTTGGGCACTCTCGCTGGGCGAACGCGCTGTTCCCGCTGGCCCCCAAGCGGCGCCTGCGCCCGACCGAATGGAGACGCCCCCGAGGCGCCAGGGCTGTGGCGCGGGCGGCGAGCGGGTGTGTTTCGGCTGGCCATCTCCCCCCCTCTCCCCTCCCCCTCCTCTCCATCCGTCCCCCTCCTCTTCCCCCTCTCCCTCTCCCCCTCCTCTTTCCCTCCCTCTCCCCCGCCCTTGCCCCCCCCCCCCCTGCTGTCTCCTGTTGGTTCGGATGCCGCCTGTTACCTCCGGCAGCGCCTGCAATAAGCAGCGAAAAACAGTGACTCCTTGTGAGGCCTCCGCGCCTTGGCCCGATCTCCGTCCTCTCCCCCCCCCCCCGCTTTCCCCCTCCTGTTTCCCTCCTTATCCCCCGCGTTCCCCCTCCCTCGCCCCCGCCCCTCTCTCTTCTCATTCCCCCGCCTTTCCTCCTCCTCCTCCTCCTCCTCCTCCTCCTCCTCCTCCTCCTCCTCCTCCTCCTCCTCCTCCTCCTAGTCGGCGTTGGACCTTAGGCACTTTGACCCCGACGGAGTGAGGACTTTCATTGACACTCACTCACGCGACTTCCGCCCCATGCATTCTCCAGTCTCGGGCCAGAGAGAGAGCAGGGCGGAGGAGGAACGACGGAGAGAAGAAACAAAACAATCCGTGCAGCCATTCCGATACCGTACCTTTTGCGACCCCTTGTCGCGTGACAGGGTCGTAATTTGGTAATGGAATTTCTTGTAATGTAATTTTCCACATGTTTATCGAGGATTGGAGTGTGATCTTGAAAAAGCGACGAGCCAAGAACGAAGAGAAAGGATCCGCCGTACCCACGCTTGGAAATGCCAGGTTGCCAGGATTGCCATGTGCGAAGAATTGGTTGATCAAGTGCACACGCTGGACAGCAGTTGTCAGAGGGAATGGAAAATGGAGGCCCCGGGGTTCGGAGGCAGCCGGAGGGTGCCAACGAAAAACTCAGAAAAAAAAAAAAAAACATAAATGACTCCGAACTTTGGGAACAGCTGCGCAGGAGATTGAAAAAACAATTGCCCCAATGGAATGCAAGTGGGCTTGCTTTGCGTTCATTTGCACGCCGGCATGCGAAGACAGACGACAACGGTTCGAGGGAAGATGGAGGCCCTGAGGTTCGGAGGTCGTCGGC